TTTATAATTTGAAATAGTAATTTAATTTCAAATTACATTTAAATAAATTTAAAAAATTTCATTCCTTAATTGTGATTTGATTTTAAATAGATTTTATAATTTAATTATTATATTATCTATTAATTACCAACATAGAAAATAAAAAATAAAGAAAAACAAAGAATAAATTGAAAATGTAAAAAATGTTTTGATCCGATTGATTGAGTTGACCAAGTTAAATGGGTTTCACTGGTTTGGTTGGATATGAGTGGGTTTGATCAAGTTTTGACTAGATTTGACCTCCAATGGATAAATATCATAAACCGACCTATTTATAGAACCGATTTTGGTTCAATTGATTGAACCAATTGAGCCAGTCCGGTTTGAAAATAGTGTTTGCAACCTTTATGCACTAGTTGCTATGTTTTCCCATTTCTTTGTCTATTACACATATTTATATAATTACTATTATTACCTTAATAATGATTTAATTTACTTAAAATCTTAATTGTATTATTCAGGTAAAGATGACAGATGATCGTCGTTGGATGTATAAACGACGAGGCCCTCGTGGAGATTGTGATGCTGAATTCTTTAATGGATTACAACAATTTTTTGATTTCGTCTATAGTTGTCCTGGTGTTCACTTGAATGCCGAAATTCGTTCCCCCCGTAGTAAATGTGGAAATTTACCTCACCACAACAAGGTAACTGTAACAAACCATCTGTTGAGATATGGTTTCATGGATGCATATTCTATGTGGTGGGCACATGGTAAAACTTTAAGTAACAATGTTGATCCATGGTTAGCTACAAGTGATGTGGCATCCTCAAGTAATATTGAGGAACATGTTAATATTGAGGAACATGTTAATGCTGAGGATGATATCCATCACATGGTTTATGATGCATTCTGTCCATCTAAAAACGATCGCCCTAGAAATGAAACAGAGTTCGCATCTGAAAATGTTGGAGATGCACCAAATAGACATGCACAATCTTTTTATGACTTGTTGCATGCTTCAACCATCCCACTTGGACCATCATCTAATAATCAAACTGTGATACCCCAAAATTTTCTAGAATATTTAAGTAAGTTAAGGACTAATTTGTGGAAAAATTCTGTTTTGGGGCTTAATGGTAAAATGTTCAAAAGTTGAGGGATTTAAAGAGGAAAAATAATTGGATAAGGATCAGTTTCTTTTCTTTTTCTTTTTCCTTCTTTTCTTCCCCAGCCATTTCCCGATTCTGCTCTTCTTTTTCCCGCTGCAGCCGAACAAAGCCCCTAAGCTGCTGGCAACTTCCTCCCTTGAAAAACCGGTAAAGCTTGATGATTTTCCCTTCTTTTCTTGTCCAAGAACCTGATTTGGAACCCAGAAATCTTCCCCCCTGCTGGAGAATCCGGATCTGCTCTGCTCTTCCTCTTCACCGCCGGCTGCTCCTGCTTTGTGGGGGCAAATTGCTTTGATTTTTTGGTAAGAACAGCCCCTAATTCCTTTGTTCTTTCTTGAATTGGCTTGGGTTTGCCTTAATTTCTCTTTGGTTCTCCGATTTTGGGTAGCCCGTGAGCTTTCTTCTTCCACTGCCGCCGGCTTCTCTTCTTCCCCCTGCTAGGTCCGGTTCTTGCTGGAAAATTCTGGTATGTGACAGCCATTTAAGGCTTAAATTATCCATTTAAGGTTGCTGCTTTGTGATGTCCGAATTTGGCTAAAAATGGGGATAATTCCGGTAGCTTTAGGATGAGATTTAAGTAGTAATTGAAGTGAGATTTATGTGATTGAGTGTTAATTGATTTCCGTGTGATTTTTGGAGAAAATTCCGTGAGTTAGTTAGTGTTTTGGCCAATTTGTGGAAGTAGAGTTACTGTTCACGTCGTGGTACTGTTCACGGGTACTGTTCACCGAACACTGTTCACACATAGATGGCCAACAATTAACAGGGATTTAAATTATTAGTTTGTGATATAAGAACGATTTTGGAGATATTTGATCATGTGGAGATTTATGGAAATAGCATTGTGATTAGGAATGATTCTAATGATGAGTTTACCTTGAATTTGTGATAGTGGTATTAATTCTCGGAATATTTTGATTAGGTTCCTGATCGTTCTGTCAGTTAGCATTGAGATTGAGTGCTCGGTTTATGCGAGTGAGGTAAGTAAATTTATGGTAATGCCCGTACTATTTTTAAAAGCATGTTTTGATTTGTTTTTAAAGTGGCGGCGGGACTAAACCCGTTTTACACAAGCATGACTAATTTGAAGTGGAATTTTTATGCTTTTCATTAAATTGAGCATACCTACTTGAAATTTAATTGATTGTCCTGATGATTTGAAAGTGATTGGTGAATTATGATTGTTCTGTTAACTTCAGCCTGTTTTTTCTCCGATGTGGTCATGTTATTAGTGACCCTACTAGTGGGGGAGTTTATAAACGCTAGCACATGTCGACATGTTAGTGATAGAACCGGTTCGTTTCAGTGACCCTGCTAATGGGGATTATACACTAGTAAATCGTGTGCCCGCCAGTGGGAGGTTTATAAACGTTGGCGATGACCTATAGAGGAGACGTATATTTCGTTCCCGTACTATATCCGTTTTTCGTGATTGCATATGTTGGCATACTATAAGTTTAATTAAAGGGCACTCCATATTTACTTACTGAGTTTATCTCATAGTTTTTCCTTGTCCACCATTTCAGGAAGTGAAACCGAGGACAGGGAAACCACGGGAAGTGACGAGTTAGAAGGCTAGCCATATTGTAATTGATATAGATTTTAAATATAAATTATGATCTTGTAAGTTAGAGTGTATTTGGAGATTAATGATATGAGAGAATTATAAAATTTGATCTTCAGATTTTGGTGGTATCAGAGTGTGAATTGGATAAGTTTCGAGCCTTGTGCATTTGTGGGACCCGTCTCACGAGTGCACGGCGTCTGTCGTGCCTCGAAATTAGGTTTTGGGACGTGACACAAACATTGCTTGGATGGTTACCATATATGCTACACTGTAAAGCCAAAAATAACATAACTGGTGTTGGTTACAATGACATCATTTAGGGCTGTAGGCGATTGTTAAGTCCAGAAGATCAACAAAAAGTACCGTAAAATTTTTATGAAGGAAAAAACTTCATGAAAAGCTTAGGTTTAGGCTATGTCAAAATTGATGCATGTGTCAACAATTGCTTTTTGTATTATGGTGATGAGGCAAAGTCACTTACTGCTTGTCCAATTTGTGGTGAACCTAGATATTAAAAATGCAACTCGGTTCAAACTCAAAAAAAGGGTAAGCCTAGGAATTTTTTGTGGTATCTACCCATTATTCCACGCCTACAGAGGCTGTACATGTCTCGTAAAACTGCTAAGCATATGACATGGCACCTTAAATGTCGTGTTGACACGAAGATCCTCATTCATCCTGCTCAGTCTACTGCTTGGAAGCACTTTGATACCGTTCATCCTTCATTTGCATTTGATCCGCGAAATGTCCATCTTGGTCTTGCGACAGATGGGTTTAACCCATGAGGTCATTCTTCGAGGTCATATTCCTGTTGGCCTGCTTTCATTGTTGTTTACAATCTTCCTACTGAGATGTGCATGCGACCTGAGTTTACATTCCTTATACTTGTTATTTCTAGACCAAAAAGTCCAAGAAAAAACATTGATGTTTTCCTCCGTCCACTTATTGATGACCTGAAACAGTTATGGTCGTCGAGGGTAGAAACATGTGACAGCTTCCGTAAACAGAACTTCACAATGCAAGCCATGATTATGTGGACCATAACAGATTTCCCCAGCTATGGTATGGTTTCTGGATGGAGCATGCATGGTCATCTGTCTTGTCCATATTGCATGGAAATGACTCGTGCTTTTTACTTGTAGTATGGTCGCAAGATCTGCTTCTTTGACTGTTATCGGTAGTTTCTTCTTGCATCACACTCGTACAGAATGGATGCATCTCAATTCCTTAAGTGCCACCTAGAATTTGGCCCCTTTTCTCCACAATTAGATGGTTATTTCGTTCGACTTGGAGTTGCTGCACTACCTGATGTTTTATTTGGAAATCCATCAGTAAACCAAACTATTCCCGGGTTCGGTGAAACACACAATTGGGTCAAATAGAGTATCTTCTAGGAACTCTCATATTGGGGGGATAACTTGATCAGACACAATCTTGATGTCATGCACTGTGAGAAGAATTTTTTTGACAACATCATACACACAGTCATGAATGGCTCGTCCTCAAAAGACAATGTTAAGTCAAGAATGGACTTACCATTGTACTGTGATAGGGAAGAACTACACTTGTACTATGACAGTTCTGGGTCGCTTTGCAAGCCAAATGCAAGTTATGCACTTGACACGGATAAAAAAAGATGTCTATGTACATTGCTCAAAAATGTGTGATTTCCAGATGAGTTTGCATCTAACATTGCACGCTGTGTGAACTTAGTTGAGCTATGCTTAGTTAAGCTATGCTTAGTTGGATTGAAGAGTTATGATTGCCACATATTCATGCAGCGCCTTATTCCAATTGCTTTCCATGGCTTGTTACCGAATTCTATATAAGGTCCATTAACAGAAGTAAGTAATTTCTTCCGTGCACTATGTTCCCCAAATGACAACATAAAAGATATGGCAATTTGGGAAACGAAGATAGTTGAAATAATATGTAAGTTAGAAAGAATCTTCCTGCCATCATTTTTGATTGTATGGAGCACCTAGCAATCCATCTTCCTTTCGAGGCGCGAATTGGTGGGCCTGTACAATTTTGATGGATGTACCCATTTGAACAGTAATGGATGTACCCATTTGAACGGTAATGGAAACAAGTTTGCACTAGTTTCAAGTATAACATAATCTATAACAATTTGTTATGCTCATATCTAATTTCAAATTTTATAGACAAATGCACAAACTTAAACAAATAATAGGGAATAAGAATCATGTTGAGGCATCCATTATCGAAGCATACATTCTCAATGAAATAACAGGATTTTGCTCATGATATTTTGGTGCGGATCTTGAAACAAGTTGGAGTAAACCCCCAAGGAACTTTGCAACAGTTCCATTTTATGGGAACACAGAATTCTCGATATTTGCGTGCCCTAGTCATCCAATGGGTTCACATTCATAGACACGCTGTCTAACCACTCAAGAGATAAAGGCAGCTGAACTTTATGTCCTACTAAACTGTAGGGAAGTTGATGTGCTTCTTAGGTGAGATATGACAAACTAAACTCCTTTTTATTAAATTTTTAGAGTAAGCTTGCTGAATCATAGCAGGAAAGTTCAACATTCCATTTTTTGATCACACATAATTGTTTCCATATTTCAGCATCTTTGATCGAGAAGTTGGTGTATATATGACCCCTTCTACTCCACACAAAGCACACACCAAAAGTTTTGTTATGTGGTTCAAAGATAGGGTAAACAATATTTTTTATCGTGTCATGTTGTTTCAAATATTATTATATAACTATACATAAATGGTCATATACAATATATTAACTAATTGAGTTTTTAACGAAAATACTATAAATTTGACTAATAACACGTACATATAAATTTGGTAGGTGTTAAATGATTATTATGAAGGGAATAAGGTTTTACAATACCTTGCACTGGGCCCATCATGGACAGTGAATGTGTACAGAGGTTATTATGTCAATGGTTTTAAATTTATGACCCAAAAAACCAGTAGTGAAAGACAAACATATAACTGTGGTGTATATGTGAAAGGAACAACCATATTTGATGATGCTGAGACTAATTATTATGGCATCCTTAACGAAGTCATCGAACTATTGTATTATGGACCACATACGCAAATGTAGACAATTTTCTTATTCAATTGTGATTGGTTCAATACATGTAGGGGAACGCGCATTAACCAAGTTTACAACATTGTTAAGGTCAACCTACGATATCAATTGTCGACCGGTGAGCCATTTTGCTTTGCATGTCAAGCAACACAAGTGTATTACAGTAGTTACCCATCAGATAATCGAGCAACTCATGGATGGTTCGCCGCATGCAAAATACGTGCTAGACATTTGATCGACGCTTCTTCAACCTCACTTGATATGGAAGAAATATTCCAAGATGAGGAGTCACCATCCACACAATCGAATGAGCATAGTTCCAATTTGGCATCTACAGAATGCATGAATCTGCATGCAGAAGGAGCAACAATGGTTGACTTAAATGGAGATGCAAATGATGATGTTGATGAAAATCCGAATGAAGGAAATGAAGGATATGAAACAAGAGGCAATGTTGGTGACGATAATAGTGAGACTGAATAGTCATTAAATAATTGAAGTTCATGTACAGTAATAGCTTTAAAATTTGGTTGTCATTTAAAAATATAAATCTTGTGTATAAGACTTCATAATTAACAAATATACTTATCAATGACTAGTGACTATTTTTTCAAATTTTGTTTCATTGCCATTATTTATGATGTTGTAAATGTTTATAAAAAGAAAATTTATAAACTACACATATATTTATTTGGTGACATTAGTACTGACCTACTTTATGTGACCATATGTTTTGCAGGATGTCGGGTGGGCACATCAAGTAGACAAGGACATCACAACTCTGTAGATCTTGCATGTGGCGTTACCCCAGTATTGGACGCGGGACATACTCGGTCTATTAGTCCACAAGGTTCTATTCATGTAGCAGCCTCATCCCATAATGGGAAGCAGAAAGGAAGAGGTCCGAACAAACCAAAAAGGGCTGCAAGAAGACCAAATGAAAGACCATTTATACAAATTTCACATAAAGGCACCTTCTTGGATATTAAAGTCCCTAGATTAATTACAACCCTATGGAAGAGGGTTTATGATGGTGATTACTTCACCTATGACTTGTTCCCAGAACAGAAAAGGCTGCAATTGTGGGAGTTGTTTAAGGTAAGAGTAATTATCATTTCATATATAATCCTTCCATCAAATATGTAGCGTATGATTAATGATGACGTAACAACATATATAATAAAGTATAAGTCACTATTGTTAGTGTATTGGTCGATACATGTAATTTAATAGTATGAGTACTGCATACACTTAAAAAAAAAAAAAGAAAAAAAAAAGAAAACAGTCATCATATGACTTTGGTAAAACAATATGGTATCATAATTGTCATCATATGACACAAAAATCCTTATAATTTTGAGTTTGTCAATAAAGTATTTAAAGTTTTGATTCGTTTCAATTAGCTCTTTCATATGGACAAAATGGTAATTAAATATATACAAAAAAATGGGATATGGTGTATATACATGTGTTATTATAATATATGTTATTAAGTTACATGAAAATAATTTATTTGTATGTGGTGACAGATACATTATCAATGGGTTTAGAGGATGAGGATGCAGTCCGAAAGGCGTTCTTAAGATCAATGAAGAAAGGATGGGGCGGTAATATGAAGGATGAACGGGATAAGTGGCATACAAACGATGAGTATAGGCCGGTATGGGTGCCTAAGCACCTATGGCCTACATTATGCGCTTATTGGGATTATGATGAGTTTCAAAATCTTAGCGAAAGTGGGAAAAAAAACCAAGCATCTGGGGAACGAGTTTCATACATTATAGGATCAGTGAGTTTTGATGTACATGAAGAACGGATGGTAAATAAGAAAAGAAAGAAAAGTGTATATATATATAATAGATAATGAACACAAGTTATATTATTTTTGTATAATTATCGGTTAACTATAAATATAATAACTTGCTAACCTCGTACAATATGATTGTGACACACAGACCAAAGTTGCTTAGGGGGTAAGGCCAGCACACCAAGAGCTATACAAGGAAACACATACTTTATGAAAAAATGTCCCCCAAGGACAAGAAGCTCCATGGTGTGGCAACAAACATAAGATTCGGCATGTAAGTGTAAACATACTAGATAAAAAGTTTTCTATGAGTGACATAGATTGTTAGAAAAAGTGAATAAAAGGTTTATTAATAAAGTAAGTGATGTTAAATAAAATATAACAAAAATTTTGCATAAATATTAGTATGTGTAGGTGTTCATGAAACAATTTGTTTGGGTATTGATTGTCTCTCAATGATTGCTACTTTGTTATCACTTGTTCGTAAATAATAATGATTACATTTTCAGCATTGTTATGTTCGTAGCCTTAGATGGCAAAATTAGTTCATACTAAACATGGTAAAATCTGAGATTAAATTGATGAACCAAAATTCCATATCCAAACAAGAGAAAAATAAGTCTAGAAGAGCAAAAACCCAATTTGTGGAACTCAGATCTGTAGCCTGAAGTGTTCCCAGCAGTTGCCTCTTTGATTTCTGTCGTCCCTCGCACAGAATCCTCACAAGTTCTGCCTCAGATTCGACTTCAAACTCTCTGCCGGCTGCTTCCCTGTTTTCTCCCGTCCCTCTCACATGGAAGTCTCCAGCGGCTGCCCCTTTTTATATTTAATAATGTGCCTCTTCGTGCCCTTCTTTTCTTTTAAGCCCATCTTATCTCCACAATGA